TAACCCTTCGACTAGGAACACGTTTAACAGTTATAATACTTAAGTAAATATCTCACGATCCTAACGATCAATTACTAGTACTTGTAATAACTGTAAGGACTATATCTATGCTTGTGACAAAGGGACAAAGATATAGAATGCCAAGGTGTTTTATCATTAATACGAATAAAGGTTCGTTTATTACCATAATAAATACGAAAGACCACAGCCACAAGTTGGCTTGTTGGTCACCTACTCTAACAGTCATAACATCGAGGACTGATGAGATGCAATACACATACACTAAGTGCTAGTATCAAAAGGGAAAGGCCGGTATCCTCATTATTGGCGTAACCCATCGACTAGGAACAACGTTTAACAGTTACATTACATTGCTGAGTTGTCTCACGATTCTACTAGATCAACTCACAGTAATAGAGTAACTCGTTAGGACTATATATATGCTACTTGCATGGGATAAGAGATATAGAATGTCAAATGAAATATTTTATTATTACGAACGAAAAACGATTGTTTTATTACAAGGAAAAAAGAGAAAGACCACATCCGCAAGTTAGCTTGTTGGTCACCTACTCTAACAGCCACTTCGTGGACTCGAACGCTCGTGCGAGAATTAACACTGAAATTTGGACGGCCGTCCGGTCTTTATTTCTTCAAAGTTTTGATTTTTTTACTTTTGGCCCACTTTTTCCCCGAAATTGCAGTTTTTACCCCATAAGTTTCTAATTCTTCAATTTGTACCTAAAATACAAATAATAACCATTTTAAGCATCAATTATCGTTAAACACACCCAAAAGTCTCAATTAGAAGCTATGATTAAGTGTAAAAATACACACATAACACACCCCCAAACTTGAACTTTTGCTTGTTCTCAAGTAAAATCAGTTTCTAAGCACAAAACTCGATTACACATCTCCACATCTCATTACATAGATCAATTGATCAATTTCACGTTTTCAGAACTTATAATTATGATGACAATTCTTAGGCATTCGCAAGCTCAACATTCAACGGCACTTAGTCACTCACTATCACCAAAAACCACAAATCATACAATTGCCTCAAGTATCCAATATTTGCAAATTAAAAATAGAAAGAATTTATACTTACATGCATATATTTGACTCCAAATACTCACCAAATTATTCTACTCAACTAATATTGAACATTAAGCTATTGGGATCATTGGGACTTTGTGGCTTTCAATTGTTAGGCTCTTTGGTTCGAGGTAGGAAATATGGGTATATGTGGCTATTGTTCTTGAATTGAGGTGATTACGCCGAAATTTGAAATATAAGCGTTGAAACAATGGAATCACCTCTAAGGACTTTAGTTAACTCGATTCTCAAAAGTTCAAAAGTCTCCACTTTTGCTTTTGAGGCAATGGATCGAGCTTTCAAAACAATTCAACACTAGTCCTTACTTCTCCCTTCTATTTTCTTTTTTTTTCTTTCTCTTTTTGTTTTCTCTTTTTTTTTTTTTCAAGAAGAAGAAAGACCTTATAAGAATTTTCGACCGACTCCAACGGGTAATTATTCAAAAATCTCCACTTTTGTACATTTTACATATTGGCTAAAAGAAAGAACACCTTTTCTCTGAGGCTCAAATCAAGGTTCTAAGGATAAGTTCAATAAAAAGGTAGGCCTGAAAGGCTCAAACGATTCAAAGAAGACCCAAATCATATCCCAAATCACTTACTACCCAATACTTCGTATCATAAATGTCCTAAGGTGAGTTTTAAAATCGAACAAAGCATGATTTAGCACAATTAAATTCCAAATTTAAAATACAAAACATTCAACCAAAGCAATGCACAAGGTGTGATTCCTAACAATAATTCGCTTCTACGTTCCGTTGAATCAAAAGCTAACGAATATCTAATCCTTATCTAAACAATTCAAATAATCTCATCATCAAACATTGATCATCTCTCATCATCATAACTCATCGATGCATCGGTCCAAGCAATTTTTTTTAACAAAGTGAATAATAAAAAGACAAATAAAACAAAACCTAAAACATGCTAACTAACAATCAAGTGAAACGCTCATAAAAGAAACAACTAATTAACCACCCCCAAACTTAAAATTCACATTGCCCTCAATGTGATTCGCCCGGAGTTTAAACATAGAAAACACCTGTTTTATGCGTCTGGACCATCATCGGGTTGCTCACCAACTCCGCCGTGCTCATGAGCATCACCATCCTCCTCATCCTCCAATAGCTCGGGTACCGGCTCTAGAATCGGTGCGGGCAACGGTTCCGGTTCGGCGCACTCGGGAGTACCGCACGCCAAATGGCGCACAATGGCTTGGAGCATCTTCCCCGACCACCGTTGAACAGATTCGATTGTGCTAACTTTGTGCTCCACCGTGGCTAGCCGATTTCTAGTAATGACCAACTCTCGCTCCATTCTCCTTTGAAAACGGCGGTCCGAACTTGTGCTTGGACCCTCGGGTGGAGCTAATTGTTGGCCATCGACGGGTTTCTCTCCACCATAGATGGGTGCCTTGAATTGTCGGGCCGCAAGCTTACTAATCGGCTTCCAAATTTGTGTGTCAATATCCGTCGTTTTGGTTGGAACCTTCGCCTTCTTGCATAAGCCAGTAACGAGGCAAGGGAAATAGAACCCTTTGGAGTTGTTGGTCATGGAGATCCAAAAGCGGTCGGATATGATCTCCCCAATATTGATCGGTGTGCCCTTTAGAATGTAATATTCAAGAGCACACCTTTCATGGTTCACTTGAGTCCACGAGCGAGTGGGGATGAGGTTGGCGCATATGAAAGTAAGGCACGCCTTGCCTATTTGGTGAATGCATTTCCACTCTAACTCGTATTCTTCCTCGGTGGAGAATTCGGACCAAATTGGGGGCCCATCGCATAATACCTTGCCGAGTTGATCTTTTGTGACTGCGAGTTGCATTTGTTCCCAATTGAATGCCTCATGTTGGGTGTTGTCGAAGGAGTTCATGGCCTTGTCACTCCAATCGACCCGCTTCCCTCGAACTGTGCTTGTCTTCCGATCCAAAGTTAGGAGAATACGGGTGTTGGCATAGAACTCGCGGACCAAAGACAAGTTTATCGACTCCGCCGGTTCCAACAAGGATTGCCACCCTCGTCGTATGAATTCTTGATTCAACGGTTCAAATTGCGGTAGGGTGACCTCATATGCGCGCTCCGTCACAAGTTTCTTCACCTTTTGTTTTTCAAAACGGACCTTGGAGCCTTCGACAGAAAAAGCATCGTCATCGGGAGTTGGAACTAGATCGGCTTTCTTGCCCTTCCCCTTGCCTTTTGAAGTGCCCTCTCCTTTTGAAGTGCCCTCTTCGTCACGTCCTCTTTTCCCCATGATGTGAGAATGCTTGTGGAAGGGATTTGAAATGAATTGGGTGCATAATTTCCCCCAAACGTGACTCGGGCAAATCACCAAACACCTTGTGGGCGGTCCTTGTTGAATGAGTTTTTAGAGAAAATTGCACCTTTCTTGAATCCTCCATGCACAAATCAACAACAAACCACAATGTTTGAGTGTTATGTGTGTGTAGTTGGTGAATTTTAGGCGAAATTTTTCAAAGAAAAGAGAAAATTTCGAAGGGAGAGGGTTAGGGATCGAATTATGAGAGAGAGAGGAATTGGAATTGTGAAAATTGTGGTTTGGAAAACCCTTCTTTCATACACTCTGTTTTTTATTTCGCACGGCCGTGTGACTGATTGCACTATTTTCTCGCACGGCCGTGCGAAACTTGAATTCTGGGCAGTAGCCTGCTATTTCTCGCACGACCGTGCGAGAGTTCAGTGTAAATTCTTCACGGCCGCGCCCCTACTCGATTTTTGGCAGTAGCCTCTTCCGATTCTCGGACGACCGTGCGAAATTCTAGTTATTTTTTCGCACGGCCGCGCCCCTCGCCGAATTTATACAGTAGCCTTCCTTCAATCTCACATGGCCGTGTGAGATTTCTGCTTTTTTTCTTGCACGGCCGTGTGACTAATTGCAAAAATTGCAATTTAACCCCTGAAAAGTAAAAATTTCGTATTTCGTTAGTGTGCATGCTTTTCAATAGAAAAAATTAAATAAATAAATAAATAAATAAAATAAAAACTAAACCTAACAAAAATAATAAAAAAATAAAAGAAAGAAAGGAAAAAAAAAAGAAAAAAACCAAAATCTCGGGTTGCCTCCCGAGAAGCGCTAGTTTATAGTCTTCAGCCATACTTTGTTCCTGCTCTTCAATTCCTTAGCTTTTGAACCCATCTCCTTACTTCCTTTTGGAGAAAGTCTTGAATAAATGGGTTGATTCGATTCTTCTTTCGACTGGTTCGCTTAGGAATGCCCTTGAATTTATTTTTCTTGATGTCTCGAGGCTTGCCAACATGGTCTTTAAAAACCCAACTCTTTTGACTATCTTTCGGAGGAGTTGAAATTGAGTTCACAAAATAAACTTTCTCCTTCCGACTCCCGTTTCCGCCATCATCTCCTGCACTCAAAGACGTTTTCCCATGGTCCAAGATCAAAACGTTAAAATCTTCATGATTTGTAAAATCCATAAGATCAATAGCAAAACAATCATTATTATCACATGGATTTTTATTAGCGCTAAAAACGTTAAATTTGATCGTTTGATCATGCACCGTCATTGTAAGATCACCACTAGCACAATCAATTAGAGTTTTCGATGTGGCTAAAAACGGCCTTCCTAAAACAAGAGGTATCTCCCTATCTTCATCTATATCAAGTATAACGAAATCCACAGGGAAAATAAATTTGTTCACTTTTACTAACACATTCTCTAAAATACCTTTTGGGTAAACTAAAGACCTAATGGCTAATTGAAGAGTTATATATAGCCGTTGGTTCAATCTCACCTAACCCAAGATTTTTATAAGTGGCATAGGGCATAAGATTAATGCTAGCGCCTAAATCAATGAGAGATCTAAAATTTTTACCTCCTATAGTACAAGGAATAGTGAACTTACCTGGATCGCCGAGTTTTTGTGGAAGGGGCCGTGTAAGAATTGCACTGCATTGTTCCATGAGTTGGATCATCTCGTTCCCTTGCAATTTCTTCCTCTTTGTCATGAGATCCTTGAGGAATTTCAACCACTTTCGCATCTTCTGAAGGGCTTCGATAACAGGGATATTTATGTGAATTTCCTTCAACTTGTCCAAAAATCCTTGGTATTCGGCATCGAGCTTCTTTTTTAGAAATGTTTGAGGGTATGGAATTGGAGGGGCTCGTGATTTCACTGTTGATGATAGTGATTCTTCGTGAGTTGCTTATTTTTCCCCAATCACTCTTCGCTTCTCGATTACCGCGCTTCTCTTCTCTTTTCGTGGGGCTTCCTCCAATTGTCTCCCATTCCCTAAACTTACAGTGTTGCACTGCTCGATGTTGCTCTTTCGAGGATCTTCCGTATTCGACGGCAGTGCTCACGATGGCCTAGCGGTTAGCTGGGTTGCAAGTTGACCCATCTGTGTTTCCAAATTTCGGATAGAGGCTTGAGTGGTTGTCATAAATTGCGCCAAGATATTTGCGAGATCTCCACCTTGAGGTTGAGCTTGAGGTGGATTTTGGAATCCGGGAGCTGGTCGTGAATAATTAGGAGGTTGACCTTGAGGTGGTGCTTGCCTTTGTCCTTGCTGATTTCCTCCCCACCCAATGTTAGGGTGATCTTTCCCTCCCGGATTATACGTGTTGGAGTATGGGTTCCTCTGTTGTCGGTTAGTGTCATGCACATAATTTAGAGAGTCCGTTTCTTCTACGCACTGGTCAGGAACTTGGACTGCATGGACTTGCTGAGTTTGCAATGCTGCTACTTGCTTTGACAGCTTCTCTAATTGGGCAGTGATTGCGGTGACCCCGTCCAATTCCAAAATTCCTCCCGTCTTGACTGCTCCACTATTTGACCGGTCCGATGCCTTCATGTATTTATTTCTGGAGATTCGCTCCAAGAGTTCGTATGCTTCGTCGTAAGTTAAACTCATGAACATTCCCCCAGCTGCAGAGTCGAGCACGGTCCTCGAGTTGTCTTGCAATCCATCATAAAATATTTGCAGTTGGCGCCACTCTTGAAGTCCATGATTCGGGCACCTCCTTATTAACTGTTTGAACCGCTCCCACGTCTCGAATAATGCTTCACCGGTATCTTGTACGAAGTTTTGTATTTCTCTCCGGATTCTCTCAGTTTTTGTTGGGGAGTTGTACGTGTTCATGAAAAGTTGTGTTAGCTGGGGCCAAGACGAGATGGAGTGCGGTGCGCTAGTTTGTAACCATTCTCGGGCTGCTCCTTGTAGAGAGTGCTTGAACAGGCGGAGTTGCAGTGCTTCGGGCGATACTCCGTTCATCTTGTGCGAATCACACGTTTCGAGAAAGTTGACCAGATGGAGATGTGGATCTTCATAAGCCAATCCGCTGAATAACCCATTATTTTGGAGCATAGTGAGGAGTCCCGCTCGAATTTCGAAATTGTTGGCTTCAATGGGGGGCTGCTGGATGCTTGATTGGAACCCATTGATTGTTGGAACGGTGTACTCATACAATGCTCGTTGACGAGGGGGTGGATTAATTAGCTGACGTTGCTCTTACTCGTTGATGATCTCTCCCGCCGCATTCGGTAGGCGCCCTTGGTCATCTCCCCTACGATTAATCTCTTCTTCCATCGTTGCGGGAGCGTTTTGAGCTAACCGTTGATTTCTCCTGGCTTGCCTAAACGTTCGCTCAATTTCGGGATCGAGAGGTAGCAAGTTCGTGTCGTGTCTTCTTCGCATAAAAAGTACCTAAAACAAAACAATAAAAATAAAATAAGCAAATAAATAAAACGGCTGAAGTAAGAAAAATTGCTCAAATTTAATATAAGGATAAATAAATAATTTAGCCGTATTCCCCGGCAACGGCGCCAAAAACTTGTTGGGGCTAAATACCTAACACGCAAGTGCACGTATCGCAAACAAGTAGTAAAAGTGGACTCGTGAAAGTCGGATGTCGATCCCACATGGAATACTCAAATTACCTAATCCTAAGTACCAAATTCTAACAATTATGATTTTTATCCAGCCTACGCAGGGTTGTCAAATTAAATCAATTAAATAATTAAACTAATTAAGAAAGCAATTAATCACGAGAAAATATCAATATAAAAACGGATCTAGGATTTTATCTTCCCCTATGCGATAATTCCTTACCCAATTAATCTTCTATCATGCAAATTAAGATTCCTGATTATTAACCCAAAACACGAAATTACTCATAACCCGCTGTCGTGTGTATTATGAGTCTATTATTCATAAACGATTCACTATATGTCTATGCAAACCTAGTATAAATAAAGCATTAAATAACAAGTCTCGAAAACGGCTACCTAAGGTATTATCTGTATGTCTACGATAACACATGCAATTTACACACTTATCCGGTGAAAACTACTCGAAGGCTCTCCTATCCTTGTTCTAATTATTAAAACGATATGTCAATCAATTCTAGCAATAACATATAGCAACATAAATTAGCTACGTTCATGCGCTAAATAAGATCAAAATAGAAGAAATAATCAAGGAATTTAAACTTGCATAATATTAGAAAAATAGGTTCGAATTACCACATAGGGTTCCAACAAAATCCTTGATTAAAAACTTAGCTACTCATGTTCTCTACGAAAGGCATGATAAAAATACGAAAAATCATAAAAGTTGTGAATAAAAGTAAAAAGGGAGAACTATGATGAAGATTTGTCAAGTCTTCGTTGCTCCGTTCTCTTGCTCCTAGATTGCGTGTAAAAAGATAGATAAGATCCTAATTGTGTGCTTTTTGGCCTTTAAATATGGTGCAAAAATATAAGATGGCGGTTTCCTCGTGTAATTAAACTTCCTTCACTGCGCCACTTCGTGAACTCGGACGCCCGTGCGAGACTTAACACTGAAATTCGGACGGCCGTTCGGTCTTTAATTCTTCAAAGTTTTGATTTGTTTACTTTTGGCCCACTTTTTCCCCGAAATTGCAGTTTTTACCCCATAAGTTTCCAATTCTTCAATTTGTACCTAAAATAAAAATAATAACCATTTTAAGCACCCATTGTCGTTAAAACACACCCAAAAGTCCCAATTAGAAGGTATGATTAAGTGTAAAAATACACACTTAACAGTTTGTATAGTCGACTTTGTATCATTCCATAAACTCCTTTGGATAGATATCATTTTTCTTGTGTGGAATTAGTTACACTTAATATGTGATTAGACACATAAAAATTTCCCCCACAAGTTCTCCGGTAAACTTGAATCGAAAGCATACGAAGCATTCTCATTAATAGCTTCATTTTTGCAGATAACAACCACATTAACTTTAACTAGGCCCTTACATAACCAGTCTTATGTGCTCCTTCTCATTGAGTTGAAGATCACAAAATAAAGCAGCACCATATTTTGCCACATTGCAAAATAAATGTTCTTGAACTTGTTTGATTTTTTACTTTATCATCACCATTTAAAGGTGTCACTTTTGAAATCATCTATATAAGATGTTCACTCAACTATTTTTATCAAATGATTCACAAATGTTTAAACCGCAATTATTTAAACAAATGTTTAATTTTATGAAATTCTATACTCAAAATCTCAATAAAGTGAAACTATTTTCACAAAATAGTAACTAACATTTGTACATAACACACCAGATCCACGCGGACTTTATAAAACCAAAGAGCATGGTGAATATAGAAAAATCAGATTTACGTAAATCTTATATAAATTCAATAACTTCACACTGATGTAATGAAAATTATAATTAGTTTTTCCGCATACGTTACCAACTGTAAATAGTTAAATTATGTGTACAATGTTCACAAAGAGACACATCGTTTGGTAAATAGACATTTATGTAAAACTAGTGTTTGTTTTCCTCAAACTCAAACTGAAATTATTTATTTATTTATTTATTTGTTTTAAAAAAAATCCATAATAGAAAGACACAACAAATACTTAAACAAAATAATTAATGATTATCTTATTTCAACAAATATTTAAGGTCATAAGCATGTGGCCAATTGCTAGATGTCTTATAAACATAATTGAGAGTTACTGGCAACTACATTCTATATGAAGGCCTCCACCCAAGTGAAATTATTATTCAACATAATAATTTACCGTAATGTCTCACAAGGCATAGCATAATTTACTTGAACAGGAATTTTTCTACGTCAAAAAGAAAAACAAAATTATGTGCAGACTTCCAATATAAAACATGATGTACGCAGAAAGTTTAAAACTAGAAACTAAGTATTGTCTTAAGATTGTTGGTATAAATATAACAATCTGCGTAAATAGTTGAATAAGAATTACACTTACATGGAAGTAGAAATTTAGCGGAAATATGAAAAAGAAAAATCGACCGACGCTTGCAAAAACAATGTCCTTAAGACAATATTTCCGGACTGTCTACGGTGCAACATCCACTCCCGGTAGTCTCCCAAGATACAACAGTCGGATACTTTGATATTTGCACAAATTCGATGCCCACGGCGAACTAGAAACGTATGAACGAAATTTTGACAGAAGAGTTTTAGGAAGAAATTCACAAACGTCTTATTATCTCTTTTTTTTCAAAATTGATCAGGTTTTTATTTATAGATATTTAAGAGTCCCTTTGTGAATGGAAATATTGTTTTGAAAAGAGTTATTTTATAAATAGATGTGTTGTTTGGAGAGAAACACATTCATTCCAAACATACACCAATTTGAAATACGGTAATTATTTTATTCAATAAAAAATTCCAACAGTCATGTTGTGCGTTTTGCTCTTCCCAATGTCACGCTAAGCCAGCTGCCATAAGGTAGATTTTCCCAGGGCCAACAAAGTTCTCCTTGTATCGTGATGTGCACCCACTTTCCCCATGTCCAATAATTCCGCATAGGAAAAAAAAATTAGCCAACCTCTCGTAAGTAAACGAAATCTTTTGCGCCATTCAGTTGATGAAGGAATGTTGAGTGTATATTATACACTCAATATATACCTTATTACGAGGATTTTTGTATAATTTTATTGATTTTATGGTGCTTTATTCTTGGTTTGTTGTATTTTACGTACAATTTGAAGATTTGGGGGTTTCAAGGGTGAAACGAGCGAAAAAAGGTCAAAAACAGGCAAAACTGGAAGAAAACAATCGGAAGCTGAAAATTGGCCTTGCACGGCCATGTGATATTTAGCTTATTTTTGGCACGGCCGTGCCAACTGCAGAATTTTGGCAGAAAGCTTCGGGATTTGAGACGGCCGTTTGAGAATTATACTGATTCTCGCGCGGCCGTGTGAAAACTAGGGGTGGAAATCGGAACCGAAATTCCGATTTCCGCCGATTCCGTTCCGAAAAATTCCGAATTTGGAATAGATTTTTCATTTTCGAATTCCGAAATTCCGAAATTTCCGAAACAAATCGGATCGGAATCGGAATGTGATATATAATATCCATAATTTTCGATTTCCGATCCAAATTGAATCCGCATATTTCCAATTTTTTTCCAAAAATTAATATGTATTTAAGAATAATTATATACTTATTTACATATTTTTTATACTAAAATTTAAACTAAGAATAGAAGCCCAACAATGTTGGCCCATTTTACAATTTTATCAAGTATTAGCCCATTTTACAAGTACACATACATTTGCTTTCCAAACCCTATCCATCTCCTCTCGTGTGCCGCTTCCCTCTCCACTGTTCTATGTTTCTTTCTTCACTTCATTCTTAATTATTCTGGATAAGCATTTTCGTCTCTGTAGTAATTTTTTTCTCCACATACGCATTTGTTTGCGGATCCCGTAGATATATTTCTATTTGTTTCGGAATACGAAGAGAAGAAATAATAGCAGTTGTTGTTTCAAGATTTGAGGTTTTATTTATCCATTTCTAAGTTTGTTCCTACAAAGATTTCAGCCTTTT